CGCAGGCCCCACAGAGAAAGTGGTTTTTAATGCTCTGGCTTCCTGGGATTTAGGGCTCTCCCATCAAAAGTGCCCTGGGGGGCACGGTGTGGGATCTGTGAGGCTCAGCTTCTAAATCCCCACCCATTTCCCGTGCTCTTTGTTTGCAGAGCACAGCGTGTCATCACTGGACTGTCATCAGTAACTGTCCGGGGGAGTCAAAATCTGAAAGGGAAAGGTTTTTCCGTTGCGTTTTGCGTTTGGCCTAGCACGGTGATTCTGCCCAGTTGCTATGGAGGCGTCCTAGGGGAGGGGGAGAAGCACAAGCTCAGAAATTCCTTGATCACCAAGTTCCTCTGCAATTACAATACAAAATAAAATGCATTTCAAATATTATGTAGAATCCACTTATCTCTGCTTTTCCCAGCTTTTAAATGGAGGAATATTCGTAGTGCTGGAGCAGGTGCAGAAAAATTGTGGGAAAATTCAGTTCCCGGTGGCAAGAGGGTGTCTTGCAATAATACTGCTCGTTTCTGTGTACTGTTGGGCACAGATAATGCCGTAGCCTGGGTCAGCATTTTGACGTGGACTGTGGCAGGGGAGCGTATGTTTTGTATTGCATGCACAGTGCACTTGAACCGTTGCTCTTCTTTCCTTTTCACCGTTTTAATTAAACCAGAAAAGCAATTGCTGCAGAGGACAAAGGCCATTCTCTACCTCACTCTGGCACGTTTTATTAAAATACATTGGAGTGGATACATTTTCTGGTGTTCTGCAATTGCTCAAAGCAGAATTGAGTAATGTAGTATAGCCTTAGTGTTTTCTTGGCCCCCAAAAGTATCACAAAACCTCACTGTTGTTTCTCTCTCCAGTGAATACAGAGGTTTGGTCAAACACACAGGAGGCTGTCACTGTGGAGCCGTCCGCTTTGAGGTCTGGGCTTCAGCAGATCTGCATGTTTTTAATTGCAAGTGAGTTTTTTTGTTCCCTGTTCTCATAGATGAATATAAGCTCATATGCTTTTCCAATCAATACCTTAGAGCTAAAAGAAGATGACACAACTGCAGAAGATCCTCTGAGCTGTTCCCATAGGGTATACCCCTAATTATGTCCTGATCCAATATGGGATCAGTGCTTGTGATTTCAGGTGCTGCTCCTTAGGGCAGGACTTCAGGTCTCAGATCCATGCTCACACAGAAAGTGTCAGGAGACATCTAATGAGTACAGGTGCTCAGCCATCTGTTTTATATTTCCTCTACGTGCAGCGTGCTCAAAGCACATCAATCCTTTTTTAACTTGGTCTTCTCAAGTGAGCATTACGTCTCTGACCACATGTTCTTCAACCTGTCTGCTTTCAATAGTGATCCCCCTTTGCCTGCAACTAGTTTGCTTCTAGCTGAAGGGTAAACTGCTGAACCTTACTTTCTTGTTTGCGAGGTAATGTTGGTAAAATTGGCAAAGTCTGGTCTGAAAGATTAAATGGAATTCTCGGGGCTAGAGTTTGTCCTTGTTATGGCTGTTGAGAGTGGTACATGTGAAGAAAAAGACTACATGTAATGTTTGGTGTGGGAGAATACCTTATTGGTGTACCTGTGTAGGGTCAGTCTGTTCCATGGGTGTGCTTAGCCAAATACGACTGATGCCAGGAGCCCACTTTTGCCACTCACCTCTGTGATGCTAACCAGGAGCCATTTTAGCCATCAGTGGAATTTCTGTTGTCAAGAGGTCCACGCTAGATCTGATTGCTGTCCTACAACTTGTCCGCTGCTTCTAGAAAGGTCTGCTTTTTCTTTTACAGTTGCAGCATTTGCACAAAGAAACAGAACAGACACTTCATTGTCCCAGCGTCACGTTTCAAGCTGCTGAAGGTAGAGTAAGAATGCAGTAAGAGCATGGCCATGAACATGAGCAGTATAATCCAGTGTTATCCCCAAAGATGCAAGTGACAGCCTGTTTTCTGTCCTAAGTTTGTCTATGGCTGGTTGGGGGAAATGGCTGAATTTTATGGGTGTGGGTGTGTTAGTGCATTTTATTTAGTGAGCTGACGTTAGAGCTCTTGCAGTCGTCAGGCTTGACTGGGATGGACACGTGTACATAGAAAGCTCAGGGGTTCAGAAAAGGAGCATAAATGCAGAACTCTGTATCTCAAGTAAAGACATGAAGGTGGTATTTTAAATTTTGCGCTTCTTAGCTACAGGCCCATAGAAAGTAATTAATACATCTATTTATGTGGGAAACTTACATTTTTTTCATTTGCTTAGGGTGCTGACAATTTGACAACATACACCTTCAACACACATTGTGCCCAGCACACATTCTGCAAGACCTGTGGTGTACAGAGTTTTTATACTCCTCGTTCTAATCCAGATGGTTATGGTAGGTAGAAAGAGTAAGCTGTGGCAACCAAAGTTAACCACCAAGCAAAGCTTGGATAAAGACTCCATTGGGTGCTAACATGACAGCAGTGAGCAGCATGTGTCCTAAGAGTTTGTTCCTAAAGTGCTAAACCTCTGGAACTGCAGTCTGAACCTGTAGCTCCTCTGTAAGAAACAGTCTTACCTATGACATGTGGGCTTCTGCCCATGACAGGTTTCTCATCTAGGCTCCTCAGCCTTACAGCAACAGCTGGAGTGAGCATTTACCATTCCCTGAGATGCCCCATCCACACAGTGGTGCAGGCATCTCCCATGCTTTATCTATGAAAAGCAGGTTTCTGTGTACTCTCTTTTTCTTCAGGAATAGCTCCCCATTGTCTGGATGATGGCACTGTGCAGACCATTGTCACAGAGGATATCAATGGCAAGGAATGGGAGAAGGCAGTGAAGGAACATAAGACCATCAGAGACATGTCAAAACCCTGACACACCCTTCCAGCAGCTGAACTTGGAACACTGCCTTGGAACTGTAGTCTGGGCTTTCCTGGGTGAGGGTTGGCAAAATCAATCTCTACATTATTGTTGTTGGTTCTCTGTTTCTTAAATAAATCTTTCTATGCTGCCCGTCCCACTCATTTGTGACTTTCAGTTTTCAAATTACTTCTGTTCCGTAAACCACCCCAGGGCTCCTATTTTGGTACTTTGCCCTTAGCTGTGCTAAAGTTTAAATCACAATAAACAGAGTAAAGTAAAAAAAAAAAATCCAGTATTTGCTTGTATGGGTATTTCCTCTGTTTCAAGTCTGGCTTATGAAAATGTCCTATATAAGGTAATCTCTTGCTTAGGATATAATGCTAACTTACACTGGTTTTTCTCCATTGATTTCAATGAATTGATGTAAAGTTAAAGGGGATTTGAAAGAGCTTAGCAGGCTCAAGTTCAGTAAAGCATTTACACAGGTGCTTAGCTGTATGCAAGAGAGGGGCCACTGAAGTTACTCATGTGATTTAAGTACTGTTTTCCTTAAGCCTGGACTTACTTGTGGTTTTAAGCCTGAGTAGGCATATGCTTAGGCACTGACTCATGGCAGGGAACAGAGTTCAACACTATCATCCTTTTAGGACAATGGGCACGTACTTCAGTACAACCAGGGACTCGTTTATTGTCTTCAGGAGGAGGATGTGCTCACAGCAACAGATCAGGATCTGGCAATTTGGGCTCTGATCTTGTCTGTGCAGTGACTAACTGTGCAGATCCAGGAAAGATGCCTTCTCCAGATGTGAGCCCACAGGAATGAGTGCAAAGGCCTACAGAAATGTTGAGGATTGCTGACTTTGCTCCACCATGACCCCACAGAAAACCAAATCACTAGTAAAATCTCTGTATAAGCTAAGAAATGAAACCACTGAAAGCTGCTTCACTTACCTTTTGACATAAAGGGAGAGGATCTTTAACTCTTGCACTTCTCTTACATAAGTGGAACAGCTTTTGAAACATCTCTTGTAATTTTTATCTCTGTATGTGTTCTATAAAAGACCTAGTTACAGTCTGGGTCTCTTGCACCTCATTCTTACATCCTGTTGAGACTCTTGTGAGTTGATCTCGAGCCCCATGTTCTGAAGCAAGAAGAAATGCTCGTGTTTCATGAGGGATGCTCTGCAAAGGTGGAGCCTGCAACACAATGTGTATGAAAGAAGCAGCAGTAGCAGCAAAGATGAGGGCAGTTAGAGAAATCTGTATGATTTCTGATTTTTTATTCATAAGCTTTGGCTTTTTAAACTTCTGACTGTATAAGACAGGTCTTGTGGTTCTGGTTTTACCTGTGGAGATAGCATGATCTTTGAAAAGTTACTCCTGACACCTGGATTTTACAAAAGCATCAAGAGATAGTTGCCAAGCAGTCCTCACAGCTATATCCTCTTGGGGAAAAATAGTTTGTGCCATATCTTCTCTAATGCAGAATAGCACCAAGAGATAGTTGCCAAGCAGTCCTCGCAGCTATATCCTCTTGGGGAAAAACAGTTTGTGCCATATCTTCTCTAATGCAGAATACTCCTGCATTTGACTCCTAAATAGGTTAGTCCAAATTTCTTATCCTATTTAAGCTTCTACAGTGAGAAAATAGAGTAGCTGTTAAACGCTGGTCATCTCGATGTATCAGGCAACAAGATATTCAGAAGAAGTTCATACAGCCTGTTTTTTGTAGTCTGAAAGAATGCTACATGAAGAGAATCCTGTCCTCTTGAGCACATAACAGGTGAGTTTTCTTTAGTCCTGGGCCTGGCATGGTCTTTTTTTCACTCAGTCTTTTACTCTTGAAGTTGTGAGCAAAGTCCCTTTTACAGAAGGCGGAGTGAATTGATCACCATATAACGTGAGAAAAGCATGTAGATGTGGCGAAACCAGAGGAGCTGGCTGCGATGACACCGCATGGCTCTCTGTAAGGAAAAATAGTTGAGAAAGCATTACAAGAACCTTCCAGACCTAATGTGAGGGCAGTTTCCTAGGCCTCCTGTGAGGTTCACTGCCAGTTTGTAGGCCAGCCTGTTTTCAGTGAGCAGGGAAGAAGTAGCGGGAGGTAGAAGGCCGCCTACTCTTATGGGGCCAAAGGGCTGGGAGACACCTGTCTGCCTGTGTCGCTGGTGTTGTGCTGCCTAGTGTTCAGAGGGTCCTGCTAGAAAGGACATTACCAGCTGCAGATTGGTGCTGTGACAGTTTCTTTGTCACGTATAACTCCTGCTCCCTATGTGATCTCACACCTGGGTGTTCACATGCTGGGGAAGCAGAAACCTGATAGGTGTGCATCTAAGAACACTCTGCATGCTGCATCCGATCATACATTGCCAGCTGAAATTTACTCTATTTATAGTGCACCAGCTTAGAAAGGTCAGATTTCAAAAACAAAAACCACAAGGGAATAATGCCACCTTTATCAGAGCAATTTCCGGACGTAACTTAGCAGCCTCAAAAGCAGGAAAGTTCTGTAATTTGTGGATTAACAGGACTGTTTGCTGGGCAAATATTTTCATGTTATGGAAGGGGAGCTAATCAGATTCTGATACAGGGAACTGTGGAGTAAATGTGTGAGATCTCATGCAGCAAAGTAGTTCAAAAAATACACAGTAGAGAAGGGAACTTGTAAAGAGCTTTGGACCACAAGTTCACAAGCTGTCTCCATCTTTTAGTTAGAGCTATGATCCAAGGACACTGTCCCTAGCATGCAGTCATGCCATTTTTTGACAAGCCACTCACATGTTCAGAATATTATGTTGGATCCAGTCTCATTTGAGATACATCCTACCTCCTGGACACAGTCTAAAACTCAGTGCACTGTGACTACTGAAGATCTCTGAGCTGCAAATCTGCTCAACCCTGTCCTGCTATCCACACAGCGCATGAAGCAACTCGTCTTGTCCATTCATGTTTTACAAATCACTGAAGATCATTCATTAGTGACATTTATAATCCATGTATACAATTATTTATGAAGTTCTCTGTGAATATGACACTTGACTAAAGTCTTCACAATGATGATGAGCTATTCAAACAGGTTAAGCAGGTACCACACATCTCACCCTGGCTTGTTCAGTCTCCTCCTCTGTGAGTATGAAGAGCGCATCTCTGGGCAGGAGGCAGGAAACAGGTACATCCAGGACAGAGATGTACTTCCGGAAGAGATTTACTGATTCGAGCACGACTACACGGCACCCTAGACAGAGAAAGAGGACAAATATTTCAAAACAACATTCTTGTATTCTTGTAAGGTGCCCATCTCTCCAGGCTCAGCAGGTCTTTGCAGGCTGCCTTGTGTTGCTGGCTGTGGGGATCATTTTTGTGCAAAAGGAGAGAGACTTCTACTCATGCTTCCACCAGGATCTCTGTGCCCAGTGCATGCCTATGACTGTTTGTACTGGTTCTTGTTGTGTATATGGTCTGTGGAAAGCAAAGCTAGCTCTGAATACCAGAGGGCGTGGGGGTTTTTTTTGCTTATAATTTAAATTATTCCTATGTAGTTAGGCTCAAAGGAGAAAGCACAGATGGCTCTCTGAATGCTGGCAGTATATCCTATAATGGAAATTTAAAACAGCAGGCTCTGGTTCAGCTACAAAAATGAAATTTCCTCTTTCTACTCCAATTCTTAGCTACAGAAAAAATATTTACAAGATTCGGGAATGGCTGTATCAAATATTAACTCAGGCAGGCAGTTACACTTTAACAGAGTTCCAGAATTCATTGCTCAGATGTTTGTGATGAAGCAGATGAATGTAACATGTATAAAGATTCTACTGGTGTGGAATTTTTTTTCTGTTCTAAAGAGCCCCTTGAACTCAAAAGTTAATTGCTATTTTTTTACCATGGCTAAATTGTCTTCACTGATGAGCTCAGAGCTACTGATGGTCCCATTAAAAGCCTGTAGCTCTCGAGGGAGCTGCTTTGGGATTTTTTAGGGCTTGGAAGCTGCTGTGATTATGCTCCACACTTCAGACATTGTATTAAAGTTCAACAGAAGAGGCCAAAGTCACAGTTTACACAGGTGGTCAGATATGCAATTAGATTTGCAATGAGATTTTCTTCAATGTGCCCTTAAACACTGAAATTATACAAAGGAGACAAAGAACAATGCTGAATTGCTACAAAGGCTGCCTAATGGACTGTTCTAGTGTGCGAAGCCTGGGCTCACATCTAATACTGCTTAAGCTGTTACACCCTGAGCACAAAGCAAATTGGTGGTGCTGAAACACCTCTTGGCCCTAAAATGTAGGCAAGACTTGTGTCCTCCTAAGGGAAAAGATTCACCAGGACAGAGGCAAAAGCAAACAGCTTTTCCTAAAGGAGCAACTACACGAGGTGGCTTTCTGTGAGAGAGGTGGTGATGCCTCTGCTAGGAGCCCCCTATGCAGATCTGCTGGTGCTCAGGAATCTCATCCCACAGGGATCTGAACAGTCAACCTGCTGCTCACTTCCCTACTCTGGACATTTCGTAGCTCCTTCAGTCTAGCCTCTACCAAGCGCGAGACAGGGAAGCAAAACTTGTTGCTTTTATGGTGAACGAATTTCCTGGAGACACAAGGGAAGAAGGCCCCACAAGTCGCCAAGGTAGAGCATGGTACACAAAGGCACTCCACCAGCACCATTCCTTCCCCAGCCAGTGACACGCTGAACCCAGGAACAAACAGCATGGACGGGACGATCCTCCACAAATCCCCTCACAAGTGATTTGTGTCCCCTGCCTCTTCCCAGTGACGCTAACTCATTTCACTGCAAAGAAAGGTCTTGCTTTTATTCCAGCCAAAGCCTGTAACGGCAGGACATGGCAGCCCTGATGGACTCCCTCCAGCACATCTCCAGATCTTTCAATTCCTTTCTTTCTTCTCTATCCTTCAAGAAAGGGATGTACAATTTGTTCCAACTTTTCAATAGCCTTTTCCACTCTCAAAAGCAAAACTGGTAACTCTTTATTTCAGTGTCACCGAGGGCTCCAGGACCATGCTCCCCTTCCAGTTCTCTTTCTGCATTGATCCTGGGACATGACTCCCCAGCAGGGTGGACAGAGCATTCAAAGGAGTTATTGTCTCCTGCTGTGGGCAGCAGTGGGCAGGGGTAGAGGCCTCAAGGGAAATCACTGGCCCTTCCATCCAGACAAAGGCTGACAGGAGTTTGTGCTGTGCCAGGAACCGGAGGAAAAGCCCTCCTGAAGCTGATGGACACTTGCTGCAGGCCCGGCCTGCCAGGAGGTGCCGGGAGATGGCGGTGTCCGCCAGCGGCGGAGGGAGCCGGGACCCACAGCCCGCTTCCCTGCCGGCAGTGCCTCGCCCGGGCTGCCCAGGTCAGGATCACTTTTGGCACCTCTCTGCCTTGAAGGCCCACCTGTCTGAACGGTGTCAGTACCATGTCCCTACTCCCTTGCTACTGCACCCTCAGCCATCCAGCCCCTTGCAAGGTCATCGTGCTCGTCCCTGCAGAGCAGCAGCTGTGCGATGCCATCTGGCAGGACCGATGGCTCTGCCAAGCTCCCTGCAGCGAGTCCCTTGGACATGCGGGAATGCGGGCAGCTGTGTGACCAGCATGGCCTGTGCCACTTCCTGACTGCGAGCCTGAGCCTCCGTCTCGCTCACGGTCTACCTTGACAAGTGACAGAGCAGTTGCTGTTTAGCTGCCATACGGTTTCGGCTTGCTACTGTGAAGGATGCTCTGCAGTGACAAGTGTTGCAGTTGCACACGAAAGTGCCCTGACAGTTCTTTTATTCCCACTAAAGACATTTGTTTCCAAGTAGCAAACTTGGATGCAAACTTGCGATGTGCCATGAGTAGGGGAACCACTCTTCCCCCCTCTTCTCCGCAGAGATTCTTTGGGTTGCTCAGCAGGCCCAATCTGTTGGTGGGTAGTTTCAGAGAAAAGAATTTTATGGTGCTGCACTATGGCGCAGCAGAAGAAAGGAATAGATACAGATCTCCTTGCTCTTGTAGTCAGCATTCCCACTGGCCACCTGTTTGCTTTTCAGTGCTTACTGGGGAGGACAGGGCTACAGCAAACATGGGGCAATGGGTCTTTCCTTTCCTGGACAGTTGTTAATGGATCCTGGCAATGCCACATGAATTCCTACTTGCAATGATGGGAAGAGAGGCCTGGTGCAGGGTTACCCACCACCAATCTCTGAATCCTGGGCTGCTCTGTTAACAAAATGTGCTCTCCCTTTCCTTATAATTTTTTCCTTAAGAAGTATTAATGCATGCAGCAATTACGCCCTTTTGTTCCCCAAAGCTCAGCAATAAGGGCTCAAAACAACTGCAAGTGATTTCAGTATTGATCAGTCTGACCTCCTGGGCCCCCATCGGTCAGATCAGGCCAAGCAATGGCATTCAAGCCTCACAGAATGAAGGGCACTGTAAGAGTCTTCTGTGTTAGTGATATGACAAAGATCTCCACATGCTGACAGCAAAGGCTGCTCCGCATGGGAACATGAGATGAAATGAAGCAAGGAAGGAATGTAAAGTCCAGGGAGAGATGGAAAAGGGTTCAGAGAAACAGGCTGCTCCCTGCCAAGCAGGGTAAGAGAAGTGCTGCCATTGATAAGTCTACTCCTGTGACACCAGCAGGTGAAGCTTTTCAGAGCCTGTTGTGACTGTGACCTGGGCAAGATGGGATTAACAGTGTAATACAACCTCTCTAGGTTGGCAGAAAGGGCAAGATCAATATAGCTAGTGGATTAGGCCTAGAATAGAGTGCAGGAAGCCTGCAGCCTGTTCGGCTTGGCTTTCTACTTCCAAATCACTTATGCAGCAAGTATGCCTAGAATGAGAAGATTATTAGCAGATCTATGTGTGCTAAAGGCTTGCACTGCTCCTGACAGACATTAGCACACCAATTCTTTTGGAAGAGCACTGGTTATAGCTGGATGGAGCCAGTAGTAGGGGTGGATGCATAAACAGCCACTGTCTTGGCTTCTTGAAACAAGCCTATGTGCTTGTGCCTGGGCTCGAGAACTTGATTACAGATTATAAAAAGCCTGTTGTGTTTATGCTGGCTAAAGGCATTAGAAAGCAAAGCAGGATATCTAGGGTGCTCATTTGCATATCATTGAGGCAATGCAAGGCTTAGCTGGCTTTTGCATTTGCAGAGAGATTTTCTGTGGATTCCCTGATCACACGGGCTTACGCAGGTTCACCCACGAATAGTTCCCTTTTACCAACAGGACAGCAACGGATTTCCATGGCCTGAACATGCCTTTCAGCTCTATCCAGACAGCCTCAATCCCAGCATCACTCTTGTTTCATTAAGCCCCTCTGATGCACAGCCCTGCATGCCTGCCAGATCAAATTATAAATACTGGGAATTTCAATGAGACTGGAACTATATTTGGAAAGGCTTAGTGTAAGCAGCAGCATGGGAGCTCCCCGTTCCTTTGGTGTTTGTAGGTCATGTCAGATGTGATGTAATCAGAGCAGCAAGGCTTTCACATAGCTTCAGGAGTCTCTTGATGCTGCTAAAGGAATGGAAATGTTGTCTATACAAGAGTCTGTTTCAAATCTGAACCAATCTGAGGCACAGCCCATATTCAGGACCATAGCATATCTAACAAACCTGCATGAATAGCACATGAAGGTGGTTCAGTCTAGGTAAGGCCTGACATCTAGCAGTGACAACTACCACTGCAGTTCCTTGTTCTTTCTCTGTAGTGCACACAGCACACACAGAGCTCTTTGCTGCATCTCAAAGCTGAACAAAGAAAAGGTCCTAGGAAAGAAGTTGGCATTAATACTCCTCTTTCATAATTGGGGAACTGAAGAGACTATAGTCAGAACTCAGTTAAAGGGCATTCTGCCATCTTGGCTCATGCTCTCTCCATCAGATCTTGGTCTGCAACTTGCTGCTAGCAGGGAATTAAAACTGATTTGCTGTGACACATTCAAACCCTACAATGATTTGGGAATTAGCATTAAAAAAACAGAGTCTGGATGACTGCTGAGGGAGCAGGAGATTGACTGGGTGGGCCTGGTTGAGCCACCCTCCCATGTTCTGTCCAAACAGCTGACAGCTTTGTGCTTAAACTAGTTCCACAAATTCGACCCTGAGTCAGGCACTGTTTGCTGGAGATAAGGGCTGCAGATCTACTCTGGTACAGCAGCTAGAAAAGGGGGTCAGGAGCAACCTGCTTCTGTACTTTGCTTCTTTTTTTCCCTACTTGTACAGTGAGTTTCTCAGAGAGACTTGCTCATTTATAGGTGAAAGAAGCCACTCCAACAATTTGTGCCAGTGCAGATTTCAGAGACCTTTACCATACTGACCACATTTTGATGGGAGCTTAGCTTGGTACATGCAACCATTTTTGGCTGAGCTGGTAATGGTTTCTGAGGCCCTTGTCACAGAAAAAAAATAAAAAGGCTTATAAGTAAGATGTAATCAAAAACTCTGGGACTGAGCTGAGAGACCTGGAAACAGCACTCATATTCACGCAAGGCAGCAAGAGGCATAGGCCAGACACTGAATCACACCACCAAGACAGGACAACCCCAAAGGACAGAAAATTGACTGTAGAGAAGCCTGAGCTAGTAAAAAACTGCAGGGAGATAAAAGGGCAAGGAAGAGTTCAGCTGCGGGTTTTCATTCGCATTGCAAATAGAGGTGAGTTAGCAGACGAAACCCTGGACAGAACATTCATGTAAACGATTGCCTAATGCCTGCAGGCTCACGGATGCGTAATGTAATGTGACATACCTTCAGGTAACTTCCGCTCTGAATGCAGGTACCTGTGAATGAAGAGAAACATGGGGGTAAACACTCAATGAAGTTATTCAAATCCTGATTTTACAGGCATAAACTCTGTACATTAAATCAACCTTTTTCTCTTAATACACATGCACATTTACAGTGGCTAATCTAATAAGAAAGTTCAGGAGCCGACACTGGATGTACATGTCAGGCAATGGCAAGCCTCCTTCCCCACATAATTCTGCCATTACTTTTCTCATCCTGGCTGCTGGGATACAGCACAAATAAGCTCCGTAAATCCAACTCGCTCTCAAACTTCTTATGTTGCACTAAGGGAAACTGCAAGAGGCTGCCAAAGGCTATTCACCTCTGAGAGCACTGGCTCTTTAAAGCCTTGTGTCTGCTGACCAGGCACATTGCCTCAGCAGCAGCTCCTGTTTGGGGACCAGCTTCTTTCTTTCTAACCCATGCTGGCACTGGGACATCTGAGACGCTGCTCTGACTTTTTGCTAACTAAGACTTTGATCCCATCATGACTTTGTCCTGGGAAGTCTCTGTAGCAAAAATGCACCCCTTGGAGACAGGAGGGGACCAGCGCAGGAGATGTGAACAGTGGTGGTACTTCCATCAAGAAGTGTAAGCAAATGATCCTGATATGGTGAAGGCGGTATCAGAGGGTATTAGCTTCAATTCCTTTTTAATTCTTTTGGTTTTCCTGCTCGAGCCTGTGGTTCATGGCTTCAGAGCACTTATGCTCACATAACCATTTGCATCGCCTCCAGATTTGGCCCATCAGAGGGATGGGAAGAAGCAGGTCTCCAGCAGATGGCACTCAGAGCTGTCCCACACCCAGGCTTGCTCTTCCATAAGAAAAAAAAATCCAAACAATGGAACATTTGCCAAAAGGAGAAAGGAAATAAAAAAAGAAAAGTTATTTAACTCTGTGTAATATTTAAAGAGATTGTTATCATCTTATAGTGGTGTATTTAATGAAGGACAATGTGACAGTTCATGTGTAAATCAACCAGGATAAAACATACATTAAACTGTTCTGTTTCCCCAGTCACTTTCAAACTAGGGTTATCTCTGGCTATTGGTTAAGTTCAAGGAAAAGGATTAGCTACACAGGTGTAGACAAAATAGGAAGCACGGAGTAATGAATACCCAAAGCAATTCAAAGCAAGAGTCAGGCCAGAAATGCAGGTCATGGCAGAACTCAAACAGCAATCAGAAGACATATGTCTTAAATAGATTCTGCTGCCAATCATCTCCTCTTCTCCAGAACCAAAGATCTGCAATACCATTTTCTACTAAGCAATGGCCTTGGAATACTGATTTGGCCACCTTCTACCCCCTACTCAAGCCCTACTGTTCTGACAAAGATTGTTAAATGTTGCCTTGTAAACATTACCAGCAATTTTTTGGGGCAGGGAGGAAGGTTTAAGTATCTCTGTTAATGTCTGCTCTGTTCTTCTGCCAGAGTTTTCTTCCTCCACAACTAGAATCTGGCCACCCAGAGAAGTGATTCAGCACTTGGTAAAGCTAGCAGGGTGAGAACTTTTTAAAACAAGCTTGGAGAGATAAAGCAGTGAGTGGCTGTGAAATCGTTACCAGCAATTTTTTGGGGCAGGGCGGAAGGTTTAAGTATCTCTGTTAATGTCTGCTCTGTTCTTCTGCCAGAGTTTTCTTCCTCCACAACTAGAATCTGGCCACCCAGAGAAGTGATTCAGCACTTGGTAAAGCTAGCAGGGTGAGAACTTTTTAAAACAAGCTTGGAGAGATAAAGCAGTGAGTGGCTGTGAAATCTGGCTAACTATCTGAAGTCCTAAATGTCTGTTCTGGGTGTGCTGTTCTGCCATAGAGGGACCTTCAAAGCACTAACTGACAGCAAATGAAAGGATGTGAAGAGCTGCTCCAAGAGTGAACTAATAATAACCATTCCTGGCTAGTAGAAACAGAAGCAAGGAGAGATCTGGTTCATATGGAAATGTTTCAGCAGAGAGCATCTTCAGCAGGGAAGGAAAGCTTGATTCAGCAGCAAATTAAGGAGTTTGTGCTTGTATAAAGGTTCAAGGAGACACAAACAGTATTTTGGTTACTGAAAGATTCTCAAGGCTGCTGGCAGGCAGACCTGACACTGATCTGGAAGAACAGGCATGAAGAAACTGATTCCCTCCTCATCCTTTTTGTCCTGAGCCAAATCCTTCAGTAGTCAGCAAGACTCAGTGCAGAGCTATGGGAATGGGCTCCACCCAGCTGTAACACTGCAGAGGAATTGCAGCCTTGCTCGTCTGTATTTCTCAGGCAAGAGATGGCAATGAACTGTAGTTGCAGAGAGAGAGAGAGAGAGAGAGAGAACTCTACCTCCTGCACACATTCATAAAACTAGCCAATCCTCTCCCAAATCAATCTCGCTCCCATCTCCACCCTGCTGGAGCCGTCTCCGTGGGACACTTCCAAGTAGGGGAGAGGTTGAAGCTCTCTGTTGTTGCCATTTTGGGAATGCTGTTTTATAGATTGGGCTTGCTGTGGTTTAGGTGAAATGAAAGAGTTTGGCATAAAATCTCAAAAAGTCAAACACAAACAGGCTCTTTTTCAGGAGCTTTTTCCATGTGGGTTTTTTTTTTCCAGAGACACTTTTTATAAATTCTTTTCAAACATAAAGTGATCTAAGGTGGCTTGTTCCTTCCCACCCACCAAGTGCCAGAGGCCAGCTGATTACAGGGCACCTCTTATGGCACCATCTTTATTATGCCTGTGGTAGGTTCAGATCCACATTTGAAGGAAAGTGAGACCCTCTGCAATGAAGAACTTTGCAAGGCTGTGAGGCATCTGAAGGCACCCACCGTTTCTGCACTGCAAGCACTCAGCACTGGCTCCTCCCTCAAGGACCAGCTGCTTTGAAAGCTATTGTTGTCTGTAGCAATCAGCTATGGCTGCTCAGCAGAAAAACTGAAACAGTCCAACCACCCTCATCCTGCAAACTGCAGGACTCAGCTAGCTCCCAAATTCCCTGTCTTTACTCAGTCACCCTCAAGGAAAGATGTCAGCAAAGTGAGCGGGCTAGCTCCTAAGAGGCACTGACCACCAATACCTCCCCATGATGGCAAGAAGGAACAAGTGAAGATGGAGCTGAAACCTTGGTCTTGGGGAACACAGAACAACTCTGGGGTAGAAACAGGACTGACACCCTGGTGGGTGGATTACAGTTTTGTTGATGTTCTGTTTGATGAGAAATTGTTCATTGAAGTCAATGACTTCACTCTCCAAATACTCTCCCATGCCAAAGGCAAAACCCTTCACTGAACTTGACTGCGCTGGCTGCTGTAGAGCACTGGGGAAATAAAATTTTGAAGAGCATGGCAAGGAATGGATGTCTTAAAGATGCGTCAGGGCTCCATGTAGGATCCTAACCTCTAATCTGCCCAATTAATCTGATGAAACAGATGTGAAGGAGGAAGAACAGCCAGTCTCGTAGGAATCACAGAGACATTAGAAGGATATACTTGCCAGATGTTGAATGTTTGCTATCTGGAATGCCTCCTCCCTCCCTAACAGGACTTTCTGGCTCCATTTCCATGCACCCTGAACTACACCATGTAGCAACACGCAGTTTGTAAAACACTATTCAGGGACTCTGTACTCACGTGTATTGCAGTGGCAAAAGATGGCTATGCCAGTCAGAAAAAAAGGTGGTGTTTCAGAGATCTTCCAGTTGACAGAGCTGCTCTGTGGCTCTGTGCTTTGGTCCCTGCACTGTCTGGGAGAAGAATGTGCAGTGTCACTGCTCCACTCACGCTGTTAGCAGCCTAGGGACGCTGGGAAGGACATTCCTTGAGGCTGTTTCTTTGGAAGAAAAACTTCTTCGGGGGAGAATCCCTGCAATGCTGGTGCCCTATGCTCAACTTCATCCTCATGGCTCTCAATGGTATTATGCAAGGGCACTGGGATGAATGAACTTAGTCAAATTAAGCAAGGAGGGAGCAGGGGTGAAGGAATGAGATAAAATCTAGGACAACGTACCCAGCTATGGGATATATGCCAGGCATGGGGCAGAGTCCTCTGAGAGGAAGGCATAGCATCTCAAAGGGTAAACAGAGGAGGACAATTCTGTCTTGACCTTATGGGGGCAGTCTGGGTGGAATGACAGCCACCACTCCGAAGTTCCCCCTGGGACATTTAAGATCAGTAAAACAAAACACCAGAAGTGAGCTGGGCTGTGAAAGGACAGGTTGAAACATAAGATACTGGAACCTGTTATTTCTTCAACACTCTTCTTTATTTTGCAGGGAACCTAGAACTCCAGCAGGGGCTAAACAATCCTGAACAACCACATCAGTGACACAGGAAATCCTTTTCCAAGATGGAGCAAATAATAACCAGTTTTGAAAACAGGATTTTTTGGGAAAAGGCAAGGGAAATACAAAACAGCACCCCGCTTTAAAAACATAAATGAGATGCCACTCATTTGAAATGCACAGGCTACAGCTGCTGAAAACAAATGAGAGATGAGAGTCCCATTCTAGATCCACACTGTAAGAAGGCATAGAATAAAAATGGTAGATGGGATACCATTCACTGTCTTCAAGCTAATCACCCACAAACCATCTTCCTCCCTGCTCAACACGTCCTCAAAGACCTGGCCTTGCAAATTCAATACAAGCAGAACTGTGCTTTGTTGGGATGTAATGCGTTTGGTGGCTTTGGAGAACTGTACCCACTGAGTCTGTGGGATTTGGCGGGACAATGCACTGTTCATTGTTTCGATATACTTATTTGAAACTGGCATTTAATCAATCCTTCTCTTTCAGGGAGCCTCAGTGCAACCCTTCTGCACAATGCTACGTCCCATGGCATTCATAAATGGGGCATTCAACAGTCAGGCTGTGACATGTAAGTGCAACAAGGCATCGGTGGCACTCAAGCTGCATCATAATCAACTGAAGAGTGATAAAGCACTAAGCTCCCAAATATTACCTCTGCACAGTCTCATTTACAACCTACCACTGAGTTGGCAAGTGTTAAGAAACACCCTGCAGGACTGAGAGGTGTTTTTCCAAATAGAATTGATGAGAATAGGCTCAGCTAATGATTCTTTGATGTAGCTTTTTATATGGCATCATTGATATAAGTTTTATGGATAGAGTTGCTATAACAACATAATGCACAGTGGTTAAATATAGCAGCTCCTATTTTCCACTCAGTTTGCTCTGCCCTAAGCAGACAAGGACTATTCTTTTCTGTTCTAGCTAGGATGAAATGGATTTGATAGCTCACTGAAGAAAAGAAGTGGTACAGTCCTTCCTCCCCCTCACAAAGACCATCCCTCTCCACCCTAAGCAAGCAAGCAAACAACAAAACCAACAGCCTCCCATTTGCTAGGCTACTGGGCAAGAGGGCTTGTTTAAAATCAATATGCCCAATGACTCACGCAAAACTAAACCACCTTGATATTACATGTGATCTCAGTGCAAACACTGTCATTTCAAAGTGCAGGAAAGAGAGGTTCTCAAATATTCCTGTCACATAGTATTTACCATGCTTACTACTGTAGTGCCTAGTGACTGGCCAAATGCTGTGAGAGGAGTAAAGTGACCTCAATGTCACTCAAGACCTGCTCTTCCTTTTGCACGCGTGTAAAGGATCCAGCCTGTCTTGGCCATAGGGAAAGCTCCTATTTTGTGGGATAAGAGAGAATGATGTTGCCAAATCAAGGTGATGGGGAAAGAAGCAGAGCTACAGAGGATTGCTTCCAATTCTCCTTTCTTTGCTACAGTGGGATTTTCTTGGGTTTGGGTTGGGTTTTTTTGTTTCTGTCTGGAAGCCAGAACTGAAATACTCCCAGGGGAGACTGAAATCAAATAGCAATTTGTGTTCCTCTCCCATCCTGTTTTTTCTTATTTTTCTCTTGCAGAAGAACAAATCCACGCTCAAACCTTGGCATTTCACAGTTCCCCCCAGATCTGAAACCTAAACACATAGCAGCAGCTGGACTCCCTGCAAGCTGTCCAGAGGAAGGTTGCTGCAAGGGGAAGGACACATTTCTTCTCAATAGTTCCTGCTCCTTTGAATATAACCTCTGTTCCAGACACTAGAAGGAATATTTCTGCCCTTAGCAGATAATACTGAGCATCTGCTCAGCTATGACCACTTCCTGAACTGTTTTGTTCCTTGAAGCTGCCCAGTAATTTGCACCTCCTGAAGCAAGGAGTTGTGGGATGGGTCACACAGCTTGTTCCAGCCCTGCTCTTGCAGAAAGTTATCTCTTAGGTAGTAGGCACAAGTCTATCTCCCACAGACTGGGAGCACCCAAAAGAGCTGAGGATCACTGCACCAGCCCTCTGCTTCATCCTTTCCACTTACAGCCACAGTGGAGGTAGAACCCTGCAGACCTTGTTTAAAGATGGTTAATAAATACATTGTACATGATATCTGGAGGGGAGAGTTCATTTGCCTTTTTCTTGCCATGTAGCACTGGGGCCCCAGGGGCAGCAACCGCTGCTGCAAAGCCCTGCTGGCAGGGAGGTACGTGAGAAGCCTCAGCATATGCTCCCAGCGCTGCCTGTACTAGCCAATATGTGAGAACTCATCAGGGCACTGAAAATCAGGAGTGATACAGTCACGCTCTACTTCCTCCATGACACAAACTGAAAAATAATGAGGGCAAGCAAGCCACTAAAAATAAACTTAACCTTTCAGTGGCCACAGCATCACTCCTGCCACATGCAGATGACTGGGCCACCATGCTTATTTCTGCTGATTCAGGACTGGAGGAGAGACAAGACACAAACATGCCCTTAGTTAATGAGACCTGCTTATACGCTGGTGTCCCTATCAGCATGTATCTCATCAGCCCAGGACAATGTTCTGCTGTAGGCTAAGAACTAATGGAAAGGACTCAGTTCAAGGGGCTTGCAGATAATGAATACTTCCTAGTAACATACTCTGAGACGAGAAGAGGGTTAACATCTCCACGCACACACAGGAAACCTAAAGCACAAAGGTGGGAAAGTGATTTCTGTACAGCCACAAAGTGAGACAACAGTAGAGCTGGGATCAAAATCGAGAGTTTTCCTTAACTTTCCCATACATAATTCAGCTGCTAGCTTGTTTTCCCTTATCTCTTCAAGATGTAGGGGGACACCGAACAATCTGTCCCCTGCATTACTATTTGCAGGCCATACAGCAATTGACTGAGCAAACAGAGGTCCAGGCAGCTGGAAGCTCTCTAGTCCCTCTGTGCCAATGGTGTGAGCATCAGTCATCAACCTCTGTTCCTCACTCACTCCTCAAATAACACTGTGTTGGAAGGCATCTCGCAGCTTAGCCCAAACAAACAGTTTGCTTTAACTCCAGCCCCTTTCCTTCTGTTAGGCTATTTCAGAAGTTGCTGGGAAAAGCCATGATCCCCTCTAACACTGAATTCCAGCCATCAGACAGCATCAAAGACTTTCAGCATCTTCCCAGAGGAGCTCAGTAGGTCACAGTACGGGTTCTGTGGCACTGCAGCTTTCTCTAGGCAAGTGAGAAAGGCAAATCACTGTGATGTTGTTAGCAAGGAGAACCAGAGAGTTATTTGAATTGCACAGATAATTCAGAAAACAAATGGGTGCTAAAAATACAAGATATACTTGCAAAGAGTTCTTCCCATGCCTGGGAAAGGCAGGGGCAGCTCTGGAGGGGATCTCTCTAGGACCCAATGAGGTCTGAATGAGCAGAGGGTTAAAATAAAATACAGTATCTGTCTTGCCAGCAAAATTTGGGTGATTTTAATACAAGAGATTTTCGTCTAACAACCTTCCCACATCACAGCACAGAGACCAAGGCTCTCAGAATGTAAAGAATAAAGTGGTGAAGGAACAAACTGACTTAGGAAGAGC